ACGGGGTCTCGCTCTCCTGAACTCAAACGATCTTCCCGCCTCGGCCTCCCAAAGAGCAGGATTACAGGTCCAGGTTTCTATGGGATGTCAGCTGCAGTGACAGAGGGGAACGCAGACTGCCCTTCTGTCATTTGTGGCCAGTTTCCAGGTTCTTTGCAAAGCATTTGTCCCTATCAACTTCCCCATGCTAGTCATTAACTGTTTCTCGCTAGACACTGGGTTTTGGATCTGGGCTTACCTAAGCCCAGAAGCAAATGGTTACAAGAGAAAAAGCTAAACAGTGTGCTTTGCCTAACAATATCAACATTCAAAAAAAGAAAAAAAAGCCTCCAAGAAACTAAAACTGAGTTGTGGATTCACACAGTGCTGGCTTGTAATAGTCTCCACCCACAGCACCTGCCGACACAAGGAGTGGCCCCTTCCTTTAGCCCAGGTACCCAAGGAGCCACTCACCAGCTCTGCATCCCCACGGGGCTCGGAAGTCACACTGCTGGTCAGTGTCACCGGGTAGGCGTGAGTCACAGCGATGACCATACCCCACATTCCACAAGCTGGCTCGAGACTCAGCTACGGGTGCTGGCTCAAGACACACGACAGGGAAGAAAGGGGAACAAAGATGGGAAAAGAGGCTGTCTGGGCTCAAGAATACAATCAGGGACTTGGCAGTGCTTGACTCAAATCATAGCCAGTTAGCGCTGATGTCTGCTCCTCTGAGTCTCTCGGGCACCTCCCACCACCCCATCTCGCGAAGAAGAACCCCCCCCCCAGGCTGAGCCCAGCTTCTGCAGCCTTGACTGTCTATGTGAACACAGGCACACCTCCCTACCTGGCTGGGTCAACTCCACACGTTATCTGGGCATTTTTCTGAACCCACCCCCCCCCCCTGCAGTTCATAGCTCGCGTTTGTTTGTTGCCTGTCCTGCAGCTTCTTGGCATTTTGAATGCTGCAGCCAAAACCTGCTCTCAGGTGGTTCCACCGCCCGCAGCACAAGGTCTGCCTGCCTAACCCATCTCCCGCTGCACCAGGAGGGGAACCTGGCCAGCTTCCTGAATGTATTTTTGTGATGCATGCCTTTGTAGCTTCAGAAAACAAACCCAAAATTCATTAATTTGCCCATCCATCCATGCATGCATTTAATGCATATTCATCAAGCGCTATGTTCTGAGGGTACCGTGTTAACAAAAACCAGACACCGCCCTGCCCTCGTGGAGGTACAGCCTAGTTATGGTGGTGACAGCATTAACCAAAAAGACCATACAAATGAGTATATAATTATAAACTGATGGGGTGCTGGAATTTGTTATATGAGGCAGGAAATAAAAGATCGTGACATAGAACAGGGGGTGGGGGAAGGCTTTGCTGAAGAATGTCTGCCTGAGACCCTAATATTAATAATAAAAAGAACTTTATTGTTCAAGTAGCACTAGAAGGAATTCAAGTGAAGAAAACTTGGCCTGGCATGGTGGCGCATGCCTGTAACCCTAGCACTCTGGGAGGCGAGGAGGGAGGGTTGTTTGCTGGTCAGGAGTTCCAGACCAGCCTGAGCAAGAGTGAGACCCACCCCCACCCTCACCCCATCTCTACAAAATTAGAAAAATTAGCAGGTGGTGCGCATGCCTGTAGTCCCAGCTACTCTTAGAGGCTGAGGCAGGAAATCGCTTGAACCAGGAGTTTGAAGTTGCAGTGAACTATGATGACAACACTGCACTCTAAACAGGGTGGCAGAGTGAGACTCTGTCTCAAAAAAAAAAGGGGGGGGGGAAGAAGGAAAAGAAGAAAAAACTTTAATTTTGCCTTCTCCATTTCTGACCAGGTATCTAAATTATCTCAAGGAAGAGAAATGCAAATGGCCCTACATTTACATAAAAACTTCTCAATTGTTAACTACTAATTGCTTAGGATACCTTTGCTAATCTTAGGGCTTCCATCCCTTAATTAGAAACTAATCTAACCGATTTAGAAAAGTTAGGTACTTTTGGATCAACCACATTGAAGTTCAAGCTTTTTAGTAAGATTTCAAATCAGGTGGATTATTTATCATTCAATAAATATTTACGAGTGCCAGCTACGTGCCAGGCACTGTTCTGAGTACCAGGCTCCAAGCACTAACCAGATCATAAATGCCAGTGATGCTGATCCATGAAGAAAAACCAAAGCAGATTAAGAGATTGTTAGGGACCGACCTTCACAGCCCCACTGGACAGAAAAGCAGACATCGAGGATGCAATCACACAAGAGAGGTTTATTTTCTGGCTAGCCAGGGTCCAAGCCCAGAGCACCAACGCATGGCACTCTCGCAGGCAAGGACCCGACCGGAACAACGGCATGCCTTATCCCCATGGTGCACAAGCTGCGCACAAGCCGACTACGCATGGATCATGCGTTGACCTTTAAATGATTGTGCCCACTATTGCCTTTTGAAATAATTGGCGGGTTGGTTGCCCTCTATGCCTGATGGGCCAGTCACCACGCTTCAATGACCCTCATCCATAATTCCCCTACAGCGTGTAGCAAGCAAGCAATGGCCACAAGCAAAAGTTTGCAGTTAGCTCATTGGCCCCCAAGTAAATTCCCGACAATTGGAAAATTCCTCTGCCCTTCCTCTGCCTACAAATTTCTCAGCCCTTCTCTGCCCTACAAGATAAACAAGATCTCCACCTCTTCACCACCAAAAAGTAAAAATAAATAAATAAAAAAAAAAGATCTCCACCTCTTTCTCTGGTCTCCGATTATAATAATATCATGCATTTATTATTATCTGATATCTTATTTGTTTGTTGTTGGGTTTTATTGTGTCTCCACCAGCAGACTATAAACTGAGAGAGCACACTGACCTCCTCGGCTATCCTGTGCACTGCTGAAATCACAGCACATATGATAACTGTGCCTCTCGTATGGCTGATACTTGAGAAATTTCATCTGAATGAATGAATGAATCGCCAAAGGCTAAGACTGAGGCCCCCACGTGCACTGGAAACTGAATCCTTTCCTTACGTGGATCGCCAAGGAGATGGGGGTGGCCAGGGAGGGTCCTTGCAAGGGGAAAAGCTAGCATAGCTATTAAGGGGACTCATAAAACCTTAGTAGGTGGGCTTGGGGGTGTGTTGGAGCCCACCCCTGCTTGACTAGCTAACAAGAGCTGATTGTGCTCGTCTCTTTCCAACTCTGTGTTAGGTGATGTCATGCTACCGTGTTTCCCCAAAAATAAGACAAGGTCTTATATTTATTTTTCCTCAAGAAGACACCCTAGGGCTTATTTTCAGGGGATGTGTTATTTTTTTTAAGTACGGTACAACAATCTACATTTGTTCAAATATAGTGAAGTCGTCTTCTTCCGGAACATCATCATCACTCTCCAAACCCCGAATTCCATCCTGAATTTCTTGGGACTCTATTTCCTTTAGAACCATTGGCCCCGATCTCTCATGTCGAGCAATAGAGCTGTCATGGGGCAGATGACAAGGGCTGCTCGTCTTCTTTACCGCTGCAGGGCAACATGCATGGTTGTGTAGATGCGCTGCGTAGCCAAGCCCGTCACTAGGTCTTATTTTTTGGGGTAGGGCTTCTATTGCGCAAATGCTTAGCAATCCTGCTAGGGCTTATTTTATGGGCAGGTCTTATTTTCGGGGAAACACGGTAGTAGCTTGAAATTGGCCATGGTGAAAGAATTTACACCATGGAAGTGGGCACATGCTCCCAACTATGCAGAGTCCTTGTGCAAGTCAAGAGCACTCCTCTTCTCCCCCATGTCCCCAAGGAAGCTATGCCAGCTCAATCCTAATGCCCCCACCTGGACGAGGAATTGGAAAGCACCTATCAGCCACTTTAAGAAGTTGCCCAGGAAAATGTCTGTTTACTCGGGTATTCAACTAATATAAAAACAAACCACTTCCATGAATTTAAAGCAATGTTTACTGTGAGCATGCCACGGTGTCTCCCCCAGGTGAACTATGGGAAATAGATTTATATAACTGAATGTGGGTGTTACAAACCTGGAAAATTAAAAATAATCATAATGTAACTTTTAAAAAATCAGGAAGCAAAGGAATAATGATAGGAGGAAATGTGTAATAAAAACACACATATTTAAAATTCAGCAATCCTTTCCATTTCCCCACACTGTGGTTTCTTTTTGGTATTGAATTCAAATAAAATTGTCAGAATGAACACTTTTTAAATTAAAAGGCAACTGTTTTATAGACTCATTTTATAAAAATATTTATATCTACCCTCTCACCGTTTATGCACATAAAAATACATCTGCCTGGCGTCCGGCGGCGGGTATTAACAAGGGCTATTTCCGAGTGGCAGGACTTGTTTTTTTTGTTTTTTTTTCCCCACGTGTGAACTTCTCTGCATCTTTTGAGTTCTTTAACACAAGCACGTTACCTTTTTTAAAAGACTGGTGGTGTTTTTACGGATGGCAGAAGCGCAGAGATGTCAAGGTCAAGGGAGAGAGAGGACGGCGGCGGCGAGGGAGGAGGGGTCCGGGGACGGAGAGAGGGGCAGGAGGGGAAAGCACAGGGCCGGGGAGACGCCGACCCGCCCGCAGCCAGGGCGCAGGTCGCGGGAGCCACCCCGGTCCCGGGCGAGCCGCGCGCAGAGGTCGCCCGAGCCGGCTGGGCGCCCTGCCACCCTCGCCCGGGGCGCGCCCCGGCTTGGCACACTCGTGCACCCCGCGTCCCCGGAGGAAGGGCAACCCCCGCGCAGACGCCCGGCAGGGCCGGGCTTCCCGATGGAGCCCCAGCAGCAGGCTCGGCTATGGAGCCCGAGTCGCCGCGCCACGAGGGGTCCAGCCCAGGACGCCCCCGTCTCCACGTGGGGGACGAGACCAGAGCCCCTCGCGGTGGCCTGTGCGGAGCCGCCGCTGCGCGACCCGCGCGCTCCCTCCCGGCCAGAGGGGGCCCCACGTGGCGACGCCTGCGCACGGCCCAGCCCCCTCCCGGACCGCCCGCATTTTTGGCCAGGTGGGAGGAGCCCCCGACCGACCGGTTGTCACCTGGCCTCTGCCACTTTCCACCCCCTCGTCCTCCTCCGGCAACTCACTCAAGACGCCTCAGGGCCCCGGTTTTCTCATTTTTAAGATGGAGAAAAATGCCAGCTACGTCTCAAGGTCAGGGGGAGGATTATAAATAAAACACACGTGTCCGACTCTGCTCCGCGGTCACGGCGGATCTGTGAACATGAGTGAGCTCTGGCCATGAGTGATTTATGTCACCGCAGTTCCTGACGCCAGGGGGCCATGCCTGGGGAAGGCCTCCTCTCTGAAATATTGCCTGCGAAGTAGTTTGACCCATGCCCACCTGAAGAACCACCTTGTGGGTTACTGGTGTAAATAAAAATAGCAAGCACTTAAAAAGCAATCGCTGCAATGGAGACGGAAGGTGCCAGAGCGTTAGGGGAAGTCACTCATCAGCCTCTTGGCAGCCATATAGGCTGGTGCACTCACAGCAGGGACAGCTGAAGCGGAAATAAACAGTAGGGTAACAAGTGGCCTCTTGTCATTTCGCTGTTCCTTGTCACACATTCCCTCTCTATAGGGTTAATAGCTTGATTTCTTGTGGGGAAATGCCTTGCCCCCACTGTGCCATCTCAGGGTGGCTGAAAATGACAGTCTCTTGCTCTCCTCAAGCCAAGAGTGGGCCCATGACCCACTGGCCAAGTGGACTTGGAAGAGAAAAACCTTAAAAATCCACATTATGCAGCAAAATAGAAGCAAGGGGTCAACCGGAAGAGGCAGAATGGCCCTGTGGCAGGCAGGACTTGACTGCAACTTAAGTCAACAAAGCCTCATTGAGGGTGTATGTCACTGCAAGGCTCTAGGTCAGGGGTCCTCAAACTTTTTATACAGGGGGTCAGTTCACTGGTCCCTCAGACCATCGGAGAGTACGCACTATGGGCCCGGGATGAGTCGGCTGCTAAGCAGGACAGGCAGCGGCGACAAAAACACCCGGCAGGTCGGATAAATGTCCTAGGAGGGTGTCATGTGGCCCTCGGGCCATAGTTTGAGGACGCCTGCTCTAGGTTACCTGCTGTAGAACGTGTCCATCAGAAGGAAGGCTGGTCACACACAGGTGCCTGGACAAAGGAGGGTTGTGAAAGGAGAGTGAGCAGTGTCCATGGAAACACCATCCAGGCTAAGTGTACACAGGTATCACCCGGCAAGGTGACCCACCTAGTGCGGGGGCTCTGAACCCGGGGCCCCACATCTGGCTTCCTAGAGTTTTGTGAACCTCCTGAAATTGTGTGCGTGCCATTGTGCGTCTTTCCAAGGAGAATGTCTATGCCACCTTCGTTCATTATACCAAGCAGGTTAAGAATTGCTAACGTGGCACGTGAAAGTGCTTCAGGCATCCTGGCTGAGAAACCCCTTCTTAAAACCACCCAAATCCTTTTGCACATCCCAGTCTCACTATCAGGACGCTAATCCCAATAATCCAGTTTCCTACGTGGCTGGCCACCAGGAAGAGAAGAGGGTGAGCTGCTGATGGGGACCCTTGGGTCCCCGTGAGGACTGCATTCCTCATTGCAAAGCAAGAAACGTGGACGTCGGGGCAAGGCGGGACGAGGGGACACAGTATGGCCAGGCAAGCCCAGCTTCAAGTCCAACAGAACTTGGGCAATCACAACTAGCGCTCGTTAGGCATGTGTTCCAGATGTTTTCGTATGTGACCTCATCTCATCGCAACAAACCTGGGAGGGAGAAACTATCATCTCCATTTTTATATGAGCAAATTAAGGTTCGTGAAGATGAAGAAGCTTCTTCAGGGTCACATCCGCCTTCCAAGACCATGTGTTTTCCATGCTGCCACCAACTAGCACAAGTCACATTAAGTCCTAGTAATCACACACTGGTCTTTGGGGTGACTTTGGGTATTGCGCGACTGTCCTGAGCCCCCCTTTCACGTGTTTCTGGCAATAGACCCGCCTCCATCGATGGCCACAGGGTGTGTGACCCAGACACAGGAGTCTGGGATGTCCTCCTGAGCAGAGAGTGATCTAGGGATAGAAACGTGAACCAAGTGAGGCCCCTTCGGAGTTCTTCCCTGGATTGTTGACCATGGAGGAAGCATGGAAGGTCCTTTGCCTCTTGGGCCGTGGGGAAAGCTCATGTACAGGAGAAGGGAATAAGTCCATCAGAAACCAGAAGGGATGCGAGCTGGGCAGCAGGAGCTCCAGCAGCACTGGGCCTCCAGGTGCAGTTCTAGAAGTTCTTCCTGTCATTCTGTGAACTTCCCTCATAACATCCTGGACGGAGAGAGTCCATCAATGCGTGGGAGTGGCGTGACAATAAACATCACGGCTACTTTGTGTTGCACTCATTCCTCACATCGAAACTCTGAGGTCCGTCCCATTCTTCACCAAAATGAGAGGAAACAAGGGGAAAATGGTAGAGCAAATTGTCCAAGGTCACGCAGAGGTGAGTGGCGGAGAATTTAGGAGCCAGGGCTCCCACTCAATGGCCATGTTCTATCGCTGTCCATCAACAGGATGGACATGCAGGTCAGTATTTGGATCCTGTCCGTAAAAGCAGGGTGAGGCTGTATCTCAGTTTGGAAGCAGTTTGGAGCTGGAAGCAGGATAGGTGCCTCCACTGAGCTGTGTTTGCCCCCAGGAGAGGTAGGGCCTACCTGGAGAACTGATGCATTGGTCAGTATTCCGTTGTAACAGCCAACTCCAACGTCTGCAGCTCAACTGCATCGCTACTCAGCTCTGCTCCACGGGTCTCCCCACTGCGGGGCTCGGGCTGAAGGAGCAGCCACCATCAGGGACCTGCGGCCAAAGGGCAGGATGGCAAGAGGCCAAGCCCCATCAAGAGATTTTGCTGAAGGCTTCTGCTCAGACATAAATCCTGTCAACTCACATCCCATGGACAGAGGCAAGTCACATGGCCAAACCTGCCAGTACATTCCACTTACTGGAATCACTCCCGGAAGTCATGTGGCAAAGGGCGGGGATGCGTAATACCCTCCTCCCCCCCCCCAGACAAGAGATAGTTGCAAACAATAGCACAGTGGAACGTACCAAGAAACAAACAAGGCCTGGAACAATGGAACTTGCATTCACCTTTGATTGCAGGGGGCCCTCTAGCAGGGCTGATGGGACGTCAGAAAGCTCCCAGAGCTTTGAACAGAACAAACACAGAGTCTGAGCTGCAGACAGGCCAGGTCCCAGTAGCAAAGACAGACGGTGCTGGGAGGCAGAGCTTTCAACATCTACAGCCCAAACAAGGACTCAACAAAAGGTCAGAAGACAATGACCCCAGGGGATGCCTGGGGAGTGTATCATAAGAATAAACATTGTCTCAGGGCACTGGGTTATGAGTAATTTCCCCTTCTGTTTTCTATTGCGTTATTGTGCCACTTTTGTAATTAGAAAAATAAGCAGTAAAGAAAAGAAAACTGTGCCCTTCCTAGAGCCCAAAACAGCACGGGCAGCAGAAGCGACTGCTTTTCAAATGCCAAACCTCAGAATGCCGAGCAAGGTTTGTGTGTCCAGTAACACACCAAAGGTGTGTAATTTCAGTCCCTTGGGGCAAATCACCTACCATAATGACTGACAGATAGGAAGGCAATAGTTAGGATAATCTTTTCCTGAAGCTTTTTTTTTTTTTTTTGGGTATTTTGGGTTTCTTGGGTTTGGTTTTGTTTTTTTTTTTGCTTTGGTGAGCAAATTGGACTTCACTCCTGAAGTCCAGACGTTCCTGGAATTTTCCACACTCAGATTCTGTCTGGATTGAAGAAAAACAAAGGCCACCGGAGTTCAGTGTGCAGGAGATCTTGGGCTTCTTCCTAGCCAAGAGAGAGATCAGCAACGTCGTGGGCTTAAAAAAAGTCTTAGCTGGCACCGAATCTGAGAAGTCAGCCCAACTGAGGTTCTGTAATACCAGTTAAAAAGGAGTTTGGGGCCCATTCGAGCCCAGTTGGATGCAGCATGCGTAAGGACTTAAGCCCCTTTGGAGTAGTTAGACGGGTCTTTGAACCTGGGCCCCTGATCTGACACTCGATAGTTTGCAACTGTGGGCAAGTGATTTAACTTCTCTGTGCCTCAACTTTCTCCTTGAGAAGTTGGATAATGATCTACCTCATTGGGAGATGTATTTTTAGCCTCTACCTCATTGGGATGTATTTTAGGATTACATACATACCTCTAAACTTCCCACGGTGTCTGGCATACAGCGAGCAATTTTGGTTATAAATACTAATGCAACAGGAACCAACATGGTGAATATATCACTTTGGTCCAAAATGATGGGCATTTGTAGCTTACCCCCTTCCTCTGCTATTAAAGAAGAGCCGATACTACGTGGTCAGCACGTCTTCTGCTCCTCCTCCCATGCTGTCCTCCAGTTTGGGGTCTTCCTGGGAACCCAGCTAATCTGGGGAGAGGAATCAGAAAACAGGAACAGGGATTTGCAGCCGAAAATGCTAAACAGAAGCATGACAAGAACAAATCGACAATAAGGGAGAGAGAGAGAAAGTAGCAGAAGAAAGGGGAGAAGTGGGTGGTACTTGTGAAGGTTTCGAAGAAGGAGAAAAAGAAACAGGAGGAGAGATTTTGAAGCTGTTGCATCGTATGAGAGAAACCTGGGGAAGGAGACTGGATAAGCTATCTACTGCCACATAATAAATTACCCAAAAACATAGCAGCTTAAAACAAACATTCATATCTCCGCTGTTTCTGTGAGCCAGGAATTTGGAAGAGGCTTAGCTGGTTATTCTGGCTCAAGGTCGCTAAAGAGATTGCAGTGAAGATGTCAGCTGGGCTGAAGTCATCCAGGAGCTTGCTAGACTGGGGACCTTCTCTCAAGACAGCTCCCCCCTCGTGTGGCTGCTGCAAAAGGCCGGCGGTTCCCCACCGCAAGGGCACTGCACGGGGCAGCATGAGTGCCTTCGAGGATGTGACAGATGGCTTCCAAGAGAAAACAAGGAAGAAGCTGCAAGGCCTTTTACCATCTAGTCTGCAAATCACAGACCATTACCTCCACCACATTCTGTTCATCAGGAGAGAGACGTTAAATCCATCCCACACGGAAGAGGAAGAGAAATAGCCTCCACCTTTTGAAAGAAAGAGAGGTGTCAAAAAATTTGTGGACGTATTTTAAAATCAACACATGGATTTCAGGGAGTGTTGCCGTGGATTTGTGAATTGTGGATCTGATTCCTTGATTATCACTGAGGGGTTGCACGGGAGCTTGGAATTCTTTTGCTTTTCGGCTACACGATTGTTTTTCTTGTTGCTTTAATATGACGTGGACCCGAGATGGTCTATGTGGTGCCCATGGATTTATCTGGATAACATTAAATAAATTCAGGTATGATTATAGATTGATGCATAGAAGGAAGATTTCAGGTAGTGTTGCCGCTCTAATAATCACTGGGAACTTGGAACAAGGAAGAAAATGGCTGGGCTTTTCCCCTGTAAGCAAATGCTTCAAGATTTCTGGGCATGCTCATCTGAAAATATGCTAATAGTAAGTCCTCACTTAACAAATGCTGTCGATAGGTTCTTGGAAACTTGGAATTTATGCAAAAAGACATATAATAAAATCAATTTTACCATAGTGCTAAGCAATATTCCTGTGTCTAACTGCTGGTCACAAAGACATCATCGAGCTTCTAAATAAAGACTCAAAACACTTCAAAAGAGCCAAAACATTGAAATAAATGTGAGCTGCACATACATTTAAGAAAGATTAATAAAAACAAGATGATTTACCCAATTTTTGGTGGACCAGTGAGTGATGGCAGTTGTACTGGTGGTAATTTAAATCAAGAAATAAATGTTTGCAAAGTGAAATTGTAAGGAGCCACCTTCTACTACCACACAGTTCAAAGACAAACAACAAATTTGGCAGGCTCATTGAGCACTTTCGTAATGCATCATTTATGTTGTGCATTTGTATGATGGTTGTATACTTGTTTATTTATGCTTACCTTTTCATTTTTTCTTTTTAGTGTCAACCTATCTATGTTTTAATATTTAAAATGCATCTCTCATAGATAGCAGACAGTTGGATCTTAACAATCATCTCTTCATTTTAGAGTGTTTAGTCCATTTACGTTTAATGTAATTACTGATATGAACAGGTTAAATATAACAACTTGATATCTATTTCCATTTGATTCCTGTTTTCTCTCACTCTGTTGCTCCTTCCCTGACTTTTTGGGGGGTTACTTGATTTTTTTTTTAAGTGTTCAATTTTATTTTCTCCATTAGTTTCTTACCTATACCTCTTTGGGGTTTTTGTTTGTTTGCTTTTTAGTTATTGATCTAACTAAATGAACTTCATTTAGTTAACAATATGAACTTCAATTTACCAAAGGCTACTTATAATTAAAGCTGTGGCACTTCCACTTCCACTATACAACCCATATAATGCAATTCGTCCATTCTCCTCCATCTTTCATGCCAACTCTTGTCATATCCCTTACTTCAATAAACAGTAGAAACCCCATCTCACAGTCTTGTTGTTATTTTGCTTTAAAAAGCCAATTGTCTTTTAGGAAAATCACCAAAAAGAAAAAGGAAACATAATTGTTATAGTTATCCACTTATTTACCATTTCAGTTTCTTTCATTCCTCCTATACATCCAAATTTCTATCTAGTACCACTTCCCTTATGCCTGAGTCATATCCGTTAGCATTTATTGTAATTTAGGTTGTCTAGTGGCGAATTTTCAGGCTCCTTTAGAAGGTTATTTTCGCTGAATATGACATTCTGGGTTGAGAGTTGTTTCAACACTTTAAAGATATTATTTTGTTGCTTTTTGACCTCATTTCTGATGACAATTCAGCATTCCCATCCTTGCTGTACGGTATGTAACGTATCTTTTTGCTCTGGCTGCTGTCAAGATTTTATCTTTATTTTTGGTTTTCAGCAATTTGACTATGGATGGGCCTAAGTATAGCTCTCTTTGTATTTATCCTGCTTGGGGTTCACTGCTTCTTATACCTATCAATTTGATGCTTTTTATCAGATTAGGGAAGTTTTAGGTTATTACTTATTTAAATGTTTTGTTTGCCCTAATCTCATTCTTTTATCTTTGGGGACTCTATATACATATAGTATATATTACATGTTATATTTTTATTTACATATATTTATACATAAAATTATTTGATATCTTCCTACATATCTCTGTTCATTTTAAAAAATCGTTATCTCTCTCTCTTTAGATTGGGAAATTTTTATTGTTCTGCCTCCAGTTCCCTGATTTTGGTCTTCTGCCATCTCAAATCTGCTGTTAATTACTTCAGGTATTCTCATTTCAGTTTTACTTTTCACTTCCAGAATTGCATTTGTTCTTTTGCATGTGTGTGTAGTGATCTCTCCTCCATATCTTTGCCAAATTGCCCTGTTGTACCTTCATTATTAATTTTCTCTGATTGCATATATTGCGATATATTGATACTAGCTGCATTAATCAGTTGTTCATTTTCAACATCCTGGACGCATTTAGGGTTCGTAGTTTTTATTGGGCCTTTTTTTTGAGACCAAGGTACTGGCTCTGTCATGCCCCAAGCTGGATTGTAGTGACTTGGTCATATATCCACTCGTCACTTGAATTCCTGGATCAAAGCAATCCTCCTACCTCCAGCTTCAAGTAGCTAGGTTTATGACGGTGTGTGCCACACTGATGCCCCAATTCATTTTTTAACCTTTTGATGAGATGGGTTCTGGTTGCCCAGCTGGTTGACTCTGGCTTCAAGTGATCCTCCCACCTGGCCTCTCCCAAAATGCTGGGATTACCAGCGTGTGGCCAACCTGGCCTGCCT